CAATATTCAAATTGCAAGTACTATTAACTTCTTTTATAAAGAGTCATTTTCTTATACCAGGAATGGATTGCAATGAATAATATGGTTTCCCGTAACTGAAATGGTGTCTGCGTAGATTTCTCCCGTTTCTGGTTTCGCGCGACAACGTTGCGTAGCTACTTATAACTGATAAAACACCACCTTAAATTTCATCCTAACTCATCCTCAAATCTGTATATCGCACATTTATAAAACATAGCACATAGATTAAATATATTTACTATATTTAGATAATTTTAAAACTAAGCTCAACTTATATGTCCTACAATAACATTATAACCTATAAATTACAACAGATTATGCTAGTCTTAACTATGTCATATAAATCGTCCTTCTTGAATCTGATTTGAGATTTAATTAACCTTTCGAGGCATAATTCAACAGACTGCTGAATTCAATTCAGAATGTTAAGATTCCAAATCATTGTCTATAAGGTGATCAGAACTCTAAGTTTAAGTCTTTTATATTAATCCTATCGTTACAAATTGTGAGCCCCAGAACGTGACAGAAAGCCCACAGTAACATGTCGATCAATTTATTGCACTATGAATCGAGGAAGGTATCCCACATGCCTTTCCGCATCCAATATACCTTCCTCAATCCATAGTGCAATAAATTGCATTTCGTGTAGTTTTCACGTGATCGTCATGTTTATGCGGGCTTTCTTTCACGTTTTGGAGCTCACATTTTCCTCCTTCTTAAGTCATGCACCCACACATGATCTTCGGTGAGCTGTTGAAGCTCATTTAACTTCAACTTACGTAGGTTCTAGAATTCCAATTTGGTTGTTCTGTAGATCTGTTCTATCCCATATTTCAAGAACACACCATAGATATGGATGGCGGAAGTGTAATAATGTCTTTTAACTATATCACGAAACTGACTTTGCTGTTGTCGGGTTCCGTTAGCATATAACATACCCAAGTAATATCCATATTTATCCATTGCTTTAACCTCAGGCTTCTTTGTAGGTGGTTCATTGTTAGAGTTACGCTGCCAGAATAATCATGGGTCGTAGTAAATGGTGGGGGTGATATCATCTAAGATGCGATCGGATTTCTGTATAGAAAATGAATTTTTGAAGATCTAAAATTTTTTAGCACTCCTTTTGTTTTGAAAGATGAAATGTGTTTTTATTATATGGATAAAAAATAAAATAATACATTCAAGAAAATAATTTTCGGATAATTTTTCGGATAAAATTTTTTTTACGTCTTTTTTTGCCTGGTGTCAATGTCATTATCGGACTTGTATGGTACACAGAATGAATCTTCTCGTATGAGTGATGGAGGATTTACAAGTGGTGATGTTATATTTTTATCATTATTCGAATTTTACTTTTAGGATTGGGTTTTTTAAAACTCATATTTATGTTTAAAATACAATTTATATTTTCATCAATTTCTGGTGTTTTATTCCTTAGGTTACATAGATATTAAATTCTATTATAATTATCAAGCTGAATCCCGATAATACCATTTCGGTAGATGATGTGATATTGTCATCATCAATTTCTATTATTGTATTCACAATCATTTTATCATTGTTTTTGAGTTTATCATTCATAATTATTTCTTCTATCCCATAGATACCACCCGATTATAATGGTCTCGCTCAACTTCATGGTAGTCTTCTGAATCCATGTTAGGTTGAGTGGAAGTAATATGATTTTGGTCAAGTAGATTGTTTAATTTGCGAATTTCTTGATCCTTTATTTCTATCACATTCATCAGCCTGGTTATTTCATTATTCTTTAATTCGATAACTCTTCTCAAGCCTAGTATTTTTTTCTGTTGTGCTTTGATAGTTTTACGATTAACTTTTATTTTCTTTATTAAAATTTTCATGATCTTATACTGACGACTATCTTTATACTTCAAACATCTCTCGAGTTGTTCTATATTGTGCTTCGAAAAAATATAGTTTCCATTCATATTTTTTTTTTCAAACGTTTAATTCTCAAATCGATTTCATTGACAGGCTTCTTAGTTCATTTACTTTCTGTATATACCATTAAGTCTACCAATAAAGTCAATTCGAGAATTTAGGGTTTGAAAAAAAAATATGAACACAAACTATGGCTCACTATTTTATGTAAAACTTCTAATTAACACATTCTATGGCTGTCGTGGCTTTAAGAAGGACATGTTAAAGTTGTTTACATAACATAATCCTCATAGGCAGAGGTTCTTTTGACTAGCTAATAAATTCAATTTTACATTATTTATACAGTTTGGAGTTATTTTTTTTAAAAAAAAATGAAAAATAATCATAAGATAAAAAAAAACTGTATAGAAGGTTTCATTAGAGCTGTAGGATTACATAGTCAAAAATAAGATTTAATTCTCATCCGTTTAAAAAAATTAGCTTAGTAATAAATTAATTTTATCAGATTTTGTAGAAGTTATTATTATACTAACTTTTTTTAAATGAACGAGAATTAGACCTTATTTTTGTCTATGGAGTCCTACAGTTCCAGTTTAATAATTATAATAGAATTTAATACCTATATAATTTAAAAAATAAAATATAAGAATGATGATCCTGATAAGTTGTTATCTTTCAAGTAACAGGTCTAGTATTTATATCTTACTTATACAGTCGATACTGTCTAATTGCATACTATCCGTTGTGAGCAGTGGAAACGTGATCCCGGGAGCACGTGGAATGGATGATCGATGTGGCGCAGTAATGCAATTAACGGCTA